ATGCATTTAACGCCGCTTTGAACAGTATTTAAGTTATATCACGGCGTGTCAGCTAATCGTGGACGATGAACAAGAATAATGCAAATTGTGGACACTAAAATTTACAACTCTGTGAAACCCAGGAGCATTGAAGTGGTCCGAACAAGGATAATACATAGAGCCAATCTGGGATTCGAACTTACAACCTCCAAACTATTCTTTCATCTTACATTAAGCTGACGCGCTGACCATACAGCTGGAATACTGTTCGATCAATTCCCGCATCAATTCCTGCATCAATTCACGCACCGCAGTTTTTTACTCTACGTTAACCAACATATTTTTAGAACTTTATGATAAAGTATAAAACCACATGAACGGAATTATATCAACGTACATGTTAACATAAAATAATCTATCAAAACATTTATGCATCGGATTTCCATAAAAATACCGAACGCCAATCTAATATCTTAGTATATATGTAGCCAGGGTTGTGTAAATCGATAATAAACACTCTCAATGTTTATAGACCATAAACGTTAGGTAAACATATATCTTACATTATGAGGAATAAGGCTTCAATAACCAGAGTCAAAAGACTAGGGTTGTGGAACCTTAAGGACATATAATCCGGGCAAATATTCAATTTCCTGTTAATTAAGTTTCCAAAAGTGTTGATATAGAACGCTGATCGTCTAAATTTTATAAGAAAATATCCACAAACTGATTAAACGCTTAATGTAGCTTGAAATAAACTTGATGGTTCTCGTACAGTTAACAAGCTACACAGTACATGCGTATACGCTTGACCAGCGTTGAATGAACATGATTTGAATCCCGGGACCCAGTTTGACTTTCAGTCTGAGCATGTGAATGCTGTCTGGGGAGAGTTGAACCTTGGCTCAAATAATTCCATTGTGAAATTTTAAAGGATTGATTTGAGACTGCTGAACCGGTCGAGTTGGGGGTAACCTTTGAGGTTTGTGACTTTCTGACATGGAACTAAATGTACGGTACAGGACTGAACGCAGTAGGCACTGAATATAAACGGTGAGGTGAGGTGAAATGGGGTTTAACGTCGCGTCCAAGATTCTGCACTTATATAGCGACGTGCATGTACGTGTGTGTGTGTGGCTGCTTGTACTAGTCCGGACTGATGCCGATTTAAAGTGCTAGCACACTGAGATACCATGCCGCAGTTTAACATGAATACCCCACTCAGACACAGTATACTGACTCCGAGCCGACCAGTTTTAGACCCTTAATGCCGACAGGGTAACAACAAGTACCATCTTTTAACGTCTTTTGGTATGACGCGGCTGGGGATCGATCCCCGGACCTTCCGCTCTCCGGGCGGACGCTCTACCATTAGACCACGGAGGAGGTCTCGAATATAAACGGCCGGACAAAAGAGTGAGTGAGTGAGTGAGTTGGGTTTAACGCCGCTTTTAACAATATTCCAGTTATATCGCGGCGTGTCAGCTTAATGTGGGAGGAAAGCCCGAAGTGATGCAGGTCTCAGACGTTTACCACTTCGGTGAAACCCACGAGCACGGGTATGGTGCTGACAAACCTAGAAACATAATCGGGGCGAACCGGGATTCGAACCCACAATCATAGGTTTCTGGCGTGCCCAAGGGACGCAACTCTGCACAGCGAATCGCAGCGCCTTAGACGACTGGGTCATGTTTGATGGTGGCTAGTGAAACAAACAAGAAATGGTTATTTCGATGCTGATGTATTTGATGCGGTAGCATTGTTGTGTTTTGGACTTTAAGTTTGCAGTGTCACAACCACTGTTTTCAGCCTAGCAACGATATGATAACGTTTGTAATGTTTTGGTCTAATCCAGTGTTCAAGTGTATACTTTCTTTTGCCCTGCAGCTTACAAAAACACCCTCGTTGCTCGAGGAAAGTTAAAGCATTTTAACAAAAATGTAATTTGACTCAACATGGTTTGCATTTCAGGCAATGATGTATGTACAAATGAGCTCATTGTGTCGCTATTTAGAGCTTTCAACTACAATACAAATGGAACTTAAAATGCATTGTAGTGTAAAGCGACCTACTTTATCTTCTTTTAAAAAGAAATGAAGTTTCAATAAAGAAGCCTTTGATAAAGTGCATCTGAATGGTATATAGTATATGGTATCCGTTATGTGTGCATATTGAATGTTTGGTGAAAGTTGTATGCATTGTGTGTGCATATTGAATGTTTGGTGAATGTTGTATGCATTGTGTGTGCATATTGAATGTTTGGTGAATGTTGCATGCATTATGTGTGCATATTGAATGTTTGGTGAATGTTGAATGCATTGTGTGTGCATATTAAATGTTTGGTGAATGTTGAATGCATTGTGTGTGCATATTGAATGTTTGGGGAAAGTTGTATGCATTGTGTGTGCATATTGAATGTTTGGTGAATGTTGTATGCATTGTGTGTGCATATTGAATGTTTGGTGAATGTTGCATGCATTATGTGTGCATATTGAATGTTTGGTGAATGTTGAATGCATTGTGTGTGCATATTAAATGTTTGGTGAATGTTGAATGCATTGTGTGTGCATATTGAATGTTTGGTGAATGTTGCATGCATTATATGTGCATATTGAATGTTTGGTGAATGTTGTATGCATTGAGTGTGCATATTGAACGTTTGGTGAATGTTGTATGTATCGTGTGTGCATATTGGATGTTTGGTGAATCAGTAGGGGTAATTGGGGTCCTAGGCAGCGATGCTCTAGATTGATTATGTGTACAAATTCATTAAGATGAATTTCGAGCACTTTTGTGAGCATCCAGATTTGATCAAGATGTATGACTGCAACCCAGTCCTATGATCTAGTGGGACGACTTCTGGATGACCCTTAGACAAACGAGGAGGACGTTATTATTTCCACGTAACTCTGGACACTAGAACCTATACGGAAGCCTGATTTATGTGGCGTTGCAGTGAAGTAGAAGCGACAGAACCATTTCCATAATCATAAGAAATCTCCACTAAAATCAGTGTCCAGTGTACGCTTCCGACTATATCACAAGCGCGAGTTTATCAATCACTATCAAATAGTGATGATACCAGGTGTTCGCAAGAACAGGGATAATGAAAGTATGGATGTGTCGAACATACTTTAAAACTAAAACCTCAAAATGAAACCTCAAAATTAAGGAAAAGGAAAACTTAGAAACTGGTAAGGCTATGTTTGATATTGTGATCACATTTATACAACTACTGTATGTTTATATTAAAAATAAGCGTCACAATCATTTTCATATTCATAAGAAATTTCCACAACAAAACCAAGTCCAGTGAATGATTCCGACTCTATGATAAGCTTACGTTTATGAATCACTATCAAAGCACTGATTTTAAATTTCTATCTGCCTATGGAGGATATTTATTTCAAAGAAAAAATATTATGCCTTTATCAAACTGATATTAATATGAATGTAGGAAAGTGCTGATGGTTCACATACATCACTGTGATAACAGTATTCATGTATAAAAGTAATGATATTATTTGCTTTGATCACAGAGCGATGATCGTGCGTCTCTCACAATGTTAAAGATAATACACATGTGTCAATTGGCACACATGCACATGTCATAAATATATGGTTTATGAAAGTGATGACCGTATACTTCAATTTCATCAATATGCCAGGGCTTTATGCATGTTTCTGTGTCACAGTCTGAACAAAGTAATGCTCCGACAAAGCCATGCTAGCTTATGTCAAAGCTGAAGTGCATCCTTGTCACAGTCTGAACAAAGTAATGTTCCAACAAAGCCATGCTAGCTTATATCAAAACTGAAGCAAATCTATATGATTAGTTGTCCTTCAGTAATCAGGTGAAACTAGTACACACTAATCCTCTTGGTTTCTGTTATGCTGCATAATACACATGACACACAATGAACACTGTGAAGCCGTCGAATGTCAATGGAGGGGATCAGAATCGCACCCTATCAACTGGCACTACCACAGGGCCATACACGAGATAATAAAGTTATTCTGGAATTGTTTGTGTCATCTGTAAGTCCGCGACAAAGTAAACATGAGTTTCCACACGGACACTTTTGAGACTTAACACGACAATATTTAAATACTTTAACAAAACAACTAACGTCCTTGACATTCCAAGTTTTCACAATGATCGTTGAAATTTTAAATATCTGGAAAATATGTCGAACGGGCCATTTAACAAACACAAAAATATGTCTAAAAGAAGTTGCAGATTGAAATTACTTTCATTTCAGTAATGAAGAGAGTTGTTTCTTTGGTCACTTTCTATAAATACACTTAAAGACAATTCACGGTTTTCTTAAATTATTCTCATTTTACTAAATATTTGGTTACGTGGATCCATGCTTGTCTCGAGACATCTTTATGTCCCCCTAGGGGGTCTTTGCTTTGCTTTATCTTATTTTATTTGCTACATGTGAGGAATCGACAGAAGTAATAAACACATCTGGCTTTTCTGTTTACAGCATGATTGGGCTGACTTGGATAGGGCATGGGGCCACGAGGCCATTAGGACATTGGTTCCTTCTGAAAGCCTCTACTGAAACAGGACTTTTTCTTCGTCGCTTTGAATTCAGTTGTGATTTCCGTGGTTTTAGAACGTTTCTGTTGGTCAATATTGGAATAGAACTTTTGAGCTGGCTGATTGAAGGCAGAAGTTATGGGTAGCTTGTGTTTTACACTCGGCAGGCTAATGTTTGACAAATGGGTTCGAAATCTGAAACTTACTCACCTTGAAAACAGTTTCATGCAATCGACAGTTTGTGATACAAAAGACGAACATTGTTATCTCGAATTCGTGTTATCGGATTCGACTCATTCTCTAGGGGCGGGGGTAGCCTAGTTGTAAAGGCGTTGGGTTGACACGCCAAAGGTCCGGGTTCGATTCCCCAGTGGTCAATTAATGAAGCCCTTGTCTGGTGTTTTCTCACCGTGACATCTCAAAAGCGGCGTAAAACAACACACTACTCGCTCGTGGAAGGTGGAAAGCTTACCTGTGAATGTGTGTGTTCCGCTACAACTGTCCGTGACGTGTCCAGTGAGGGGTCAGTCCAGTAATCCGCGCACAGAAGCTGACAGATGAATGACACTCCGCAAGTTTAAAGCAATCTACACAAGTCCCGACTGTGACGGACTCCCATAGTTACTGTATTTAAACAACTGGATAACACTGTTACCCACAGACCAGCTACAGTGTGTAATCAAGGATGATAATGTCAACACACCGTTTCTAAATAAAACAAGATAAGCATTTCTCGGTCTATAAACAGATTGAGATTTCAGAGTCGCCACAACCGACTCCAGTATGAAACCGATATAACTCATTCATTAACGAAACTATTAAAATCTGCTCAAACCGTTCAGTACGGGCCTCGTTCTGACTGTCAATTGACAGTCCCGGGAGAGTGTTAAACACAAGGGTATATTCGTCCAATTACGACTGTGTTAATCCCCAGTTGTCGTCACTGTGACTATCGAACGCTACGGTCCACACAGTACTGGCTGAGGCTACCGACTGCTCGCTGTATACGCTCAGAGAGCGAGTACCACTGGCGTATGTATGTGAAGGGAGACTCGGCGAGGCGGGCCGAGTTAGGATCGCTTACAACATAGTATTGTTGCTCTACACTCAGAGCCTCCACGCCTTACTCACAGATGTGGGCCCGTAGACAGTCTCCTGTCTGTCTGCCCGAGGGGTGGCTTATATACCTTGATATGGGTGTCAACTCTCCGTGAATAGCCTACTTCTCGTTGTTTGGGGAAAACTTTGTCACGAGTGAAAATATAATAATGAAACAGATATTAGTATCTATATGAACTAAAACATATATGTATATGAACTAAATTTAAAATATATTAGAACTAAAACAGATATATATATTTATATATATATATATTTATATATATATATATATAAAACTAATACATATAGATAGATAGATAGATAGATAGATAGATAGATAGATAGATAGATAGATAAAATACAAAAGTCCAAAGATGAGCTGTATAATTTACTCAACCGGTTTCACGCATGTGATTTTCAAGAGTACAGTTATACCGTTACGCTGTTTCATATACATATGAACTAAATCAAAATCAGATATCTTTATGAACTAAAACAGATGTATAATTATGAACTAAAATAGATGAATATGAACTAAAACATATATATTGTGACATATTTCGAGAATATATAGAGGTTATCACGCTTGTGAGTTTGGATATGGTAAAAATGTATCCTATATTAGGAACAAACATTCATCAGCGAGCCTTGGCGATCTATATACATAGCGTTTATTCCTTATACACACAAGCAATCAGCAACAAAATGAAATGTAAATACTTCGGACAAATCCAACAGTTTCCAACCTTTAAAATCCTGGTTAGGGCTCCAAATCATAGAGTGAGTGAGTGAGTATGGTTTTACGCCGCTTTTAGCAATATTCCAGCAATATCGCGGCGGGGGACACCAGAAATGGGCTTCACACATTGTACCCATGTCGGGAATCGAACCCGGGTCTTCGGCGTGACGAGCGAACGCTTTAACCACTAGGCTACCCGACCGCCCCCAAATCATAGAGGCCAACAAGCACAGATTAGGAAACTGATCCGCTAGCGGTCGCAATTTATATATTCGGTGCCTACACATGCAACAGGCCTAAGTTAGATACTGGTTATCGGTTTTAGACTATTATTTTGATTATCTTTCCTCTGCCCCTCAGTTCTGCCGAAACACCCCCAATAGCTATTATTACTCATGTGATGAAAATAACACCCTAAAAGTATTTATTTAAACTGACTACATTTGAATAGTTATTCATTTTGGACATGTGAAGTCCATGTTTGGTGTTCTCCGCCGTGATACTGCTGGAATATTGTTAAAAGCGGTGCAAAACCATACTTACCCACTCGCACATCTACCTACAGATGGATTTAATATTTAACGCTGCATCGGCAATATTCCGTGCCATGTAGCAACGCTTCACCTCGATACCGTATTCATTCATCTAACCGACCCATTTCCATATATCCATTAAGTTCCAGTGTAAATCCATCTCTTAGTTTTTCTATCCATCTTCCAGTACATCCAGTATTAATCTATCGATCGTACGTCGACACCGTGCCCCTCCCTCTATCAATCTATCCCATTAATGTACAGCATTTATTCATTTATCTGTCATCTATCAATCCGAATGTTATATAGCGAGTTGAGTTCGCGTGGCTCAGTCGTACGAGGCGCCACAATTCCCTTTGCAGAGTTGCGTCCCTTAGTTGTGTCATGATCTTAAACGCCATGTTTAAATTAAAAATTCGATCCGATTAAGGTCCTTGGTTTTCAGAAAATTGGTAAACGTTTATACATACATCACTTCGGGCTTCCTTCCCACATTAAATTGACACCTAATATAACTGAAAAACTGGTCTAAACCCATCTTATTAATCCACGCAATGCACTGTTTAAAGTCAAAATATCCTTTAAGCGGTATTGCGACCAGGAGATGGTTTATTCCAAGAAAAGTTACAGAAATATAAATCCGACATAATCATTCAACAAATATCTAAAATTGTGATTGAATATTTGTTGACTGCGTCCAACTGGCCTAACTACCTAATTATAACACACTAATCATGGCCTTACTAATATAACTACCTCGTGCTTTCTAGGATAACCTTGTTTTTCATTGCGATTTGAAGGTCGGAAGCATTCGGCACCATTCGTTACTTTCCGTGTGCCACAGTGATGACGTCAAACAGTACAGCAGTAAAGAATACTTGTACATCATTCGTGACCAACTCGTGTTATTCCGGGACAAGCCGAATAGCGACTCGTGCCCCTCTCATGGTTTTTTTTGCGACCGGGTTCCGTCTTAACGGAATCTTTCTCGTATATTTCCCCATATTTTATATCTATTTCAGATGCAATTTAAAGCACATCGGGACGTGCGGAATTATACAGTATGATTGAAAACATTTAACTGTGTCTTGGGTATATTTTTAGAAGCAAGACATATGTAAAATAAAAAAAATATTTCTGAGGGATTCTTTGACGAAGAACTTGAAATCATACGCGCTTTCTGATTAAAATTTCAATACCTCTTTATTTTTTAATTTCGACCGCCTCCGTGGTCTAGTGGATAGAGCGTCTGTCCCGGAGAGCGGATGGTCAATGGTACGATCCCAGACCGGGTCATTCCAAAAGCCGCTCAAAGAGCGTACTTGTTGTTAACCTGCTTCTCGCTCGGTATTAAGGGAACAAAACAAGGATAGGTCGGCTCGTGTCTGAGTGGGGTGTCAATGTGGGCGCCATGATTTGTCAGTGGGCTTGGACTATAAAACTGGTCTGACAGAAGGTGAAAGTAACAACGACAGGTCAGCAGATATTTCGCATGAGTGTGCTTGTTCCAGACAATGCTGAAGAGCTCTATTTTGGTCTCAGGTTTTAGAAATAAGATTTAAGATATATACATGCAATAATCTTGAACGCAACTTTAAACCAAAATCTCACCTCACCTCAAGTTCATCTCATGATTTCTATCTATTGAAGGGGGCACGGGTGGCCCAGTCGTCTAAGGCGCCGCGATTCGCTGTGCAGAGTTGCGTCATTTTGGCACGCCAGAAACCTATGATTTTGGGTTCGAATCTTGGTTCGCCCCAATTATGTTTCTAGGTTTGTCATCACCATACCCGTGCTCGTGGGTTTCACCGAAGTGGTAAACGTCTGAGACCTGCATCACTTCGGGCTTTCCTCCCACATCAAGCTGACACGCCGTGATATAACTGGAATACTGTTAAAAGCGGCGTTTAACCCAACTCACTCACTCTCTATCTATTGAATGTAATACCCGCCGTACGTGTACCCCGTGTCTCAGGTCAATACGTGGCAATACGTAATTCGAAACCTTGATTAACATAGGGCACTACGCCATGAAGTGTCCGTTTAAGTATACGAAGCACCTTGTGTTACAGACGAAAAACAAAACAAAACTAGATTATGTTTACTAGAACACAACCAATGCGATACAATTATCCCACGTTCCGATTCTAAATGAAATACATTCATTCTGACCTTGCTCTCTACCCACCTTCGTCTAACGTGAACGGAATAAAGAAGTACTTTTTATAAGGAGCGGCTGATGTCTCAGAATACTGCCCGTTTACGTGGGAGGTGTCGCGTGTCGCTTCAGCTGCATCTCATATCAACATCATCCCTAATACACCATACTCAATATTCAACTCGGGGGTCGTTAGAGGTACTTGCTTATGAACGCAAACTGCATATAAACTACCAATAGCTACCTAAGAACGGTGCTGTGGCTTGTTGAGCGAACGCTCAGGTTGTAATGGATACAAGCGATGCATCATCGACGTCGCCGTCTGGCCCTGTCGTTGACGTGAGCAGGATGGTAGTTGCCTGCAGATGGGTGGGTGGTACTGAAAACCGTTAAGGTGGCTTGGACTGCAGCGTGTTGCTATTCTGAAAATCTTTAATATTCTTTCGTAAAATAAAAGGCCATCGCTTGTGATTGATGTCTTGTCGAATTGCCGTGTATCGGTAAGAAAAGACTTTTGCATCTTGACAGAACTGCTGTCAACCGAGAAACATACACTTGTATGATTTCATGTTTGAATGCGGTTTGAAATAGTTTTAGATCTGACTTGTAGTCGAAAGTTAATAATCAACGCAAACAACGGAATACAATCTACGGAGACGATATCGTGTTCTGACAACCTAATATTTCCTATTGAATATGAATATCGAAATAATGATGTATGGTGTATGTTTAACTTACTTATTACCAAGGCAACCTACTCTGAGAGACCGGCGAGTTGACAGTGCTAAGAGTGAGTGAGTGAGTGAGTTGGGTTTTACGCCGCTTTTAACATTATTCCAGGTATATCGCGGCGTGTCAGCTTAATGTGGGAAGAAAGCCCAAAGTGATGCAGATCTAAGACGTGACAGTGCTAAGAACCTTAATGATATTGATGGTGGTGATGGTGATAACAACACTACTACTGTTACTACTACCACTAAAGGACGGTGGAGTAGCCCAGTGGTTAAAGCGTTCGCTCGTCACGCCGAAGACCCGGGTTCGATTCCCCACCTGGGTACAATGTGTGAAGCCCATTTCTTGTGTCTCCCGCCGTGATATTGCTGCAATGTTGCTAAAAGCGACGTAAAACCATATTCACTCACTCACTACTAGTAAAAGAGATGGAAATAGATAGTGTGAGAGTGAGAGAGTGAGAGAGAGAAAGAGTGAGAGAGAGAAAGAGTGAGAGTGAGAGTGAGAGTGAGAGTGAAATAGAGAGAAATTCTATATTTCAAGATTCATCGTTTTAAAGAGACACTCAGAAATACTATACACATAAACAAATGTCTGACATTCTTCCATTCATTCTCTCCATGCGTTGAGTAGCCCCATCTCATCTTACACAAGGATGTGTTTGTAGGGAGAAATGGGAGTGTTTACAATAAACATATGTTGCCGCATACATAAAATAAACAAGAGATGATGTCAAGGCCGACATAGGAGAAGTGGTATATATGCAGGAAGCCAGCACTGTGCAGGATGCCGGGGAGACTGTCGGGTTCCAGGACACAGATACAATCAGACAGTTGTATTACCTATCCACGTGG